GGCCTGTAGGCCCTTGTTTTCAGGCTTTTGGCCTGAAAACAACACGGGGTCTGTAGGCCCTCGTTTTCAGGCTTTCAGGCTGAAAATGACACGGGCCTGAAAATGGCCCGTGCAGCCTGTTGCAGGCGCAGCATGTAACACCCTAAATCAACTACCTCGCAGGGGGCACACGCCGCCTCTTTTTTTGACCCTGGACCCTCTACCTGTTGACCCAAGGACTTCTCTCGGACCCCTCTAGGACTGGAGACGTGAATTTTGAAACCTGAACCTGGGCCGCGGGCCTGACACCTCAAATTCTGGAGGCGCAAAACAAAAACGCGACCGCCGATCGAATTTATCAACGGCGGGCCCAGCATTTGATGTTTCGGCCACGTTTTCTTGTGGTGACAAGTTTCGGACTGGAAGGCTGGGGCCATGTGCTTGTGGTTTAAACCAAAAATTGCGCCCCTGGACTGTCTCTGTGAGGCTTCTGAACTGAGTTCTTTGCATGCTCTACAGTTGGATCAAGTTTGCGCTAAGCTTACTTAGTCTACTTGAGCTCTGTCCTCGGGATGGACTATTGTACACCATCCATCTTCAGTAGCACTATGCTCGGTCGATAGTCAAGCCGCCGTTTGACCTTGGTCCTCAGGATGAACTATTGTACACCATCCATCTTCAATAGCACTATGCGGGGTCAATTGGAAAAACAATATGCTTGCTACAAGGGAGTATTGCTTGGAAATATCTGCACGCTACCGTCGCCACACAACGTCAAGCTTCCAAGCATCAAATCAATTTTGAAGAGGATGATCAGTCAGGCTCATTAGGATAGGCAGGGGAAGGGGACCGTACAAGTGGGGAAGGAGGAGAGTGGAGTGGGAGGTGATGGGTGGCTGTCTGATCACAAAATGGCGCTATAAGAGTTTGCCTTACCGGAGGTCTAGGACAGTGGTCGATGGAGCAGTCAACATTTGAGAGAGAATGTGGTTGGTTCGGTTGTCCACAGGCCGGCACGTCA